GCATCCTTTGATAATTTCACTTAACCACCGAAAAAAGAGCTTTGTGGCATGTTTGGCAGCAGGGTGCTGCTTCACATCTTTGCCCTACTATTAAACAGATGAATTGATTGCACACTTTCACCTCTGGTAATACTGCTATTAATACATCCACAGTTAATACTGATGGTACTAGTAGCACAACCTCGGTGGCAACTGTGAAAACGGAACATTCATGCAAACATTAAATACACTCCATAAAGCACTCGGAGTCACCCTAACAACCTTTGCAATGACTGCAAACTCCCCAGCAAACACCTGGCAACATCCTACCCAAGTACACTAGCAACTGCCAAGTAAAAGTCAAAAAGGCAAGCAAGCTTATATTTTCTAAAATACAACTTTGAAAGTAAAACATCTATAAGCAAAGAAACCTTGTACGCTGAGTCTGATGCATTTTATTGCTCTAGTTGTAACGAGACAAAAGGTACCACCCTGGCTATCACCACTCTCTGCCTGTGTTTTGCATTTGGCATCGTGGCCGCCTGAGTTGTGAAGTGCTTCTGTGCAGCTATTTAATCGCACTCTGCTGTGAGTATCATTGTTGCTGTTGTGTATTTCTGGATAGGCTAACATTACCTTCTCTTTGTCGTGGAAGATTTCAAGAAGGACATCCCTTCCATATATTCCACTCTCTGATTACAGATGTATGTGTCCTGCAGGTTTCACCACATTTCCTCCCTTCCTTTCCAGTCAAACAGCTCTCTAATGGCTTTTGACGGATGTGGAAAAACGCAGAAAAACAAATCTGTTCCAAAAACTTTAATGATGGACAAAAGTTTTGGAGTCAGCGTGTAAACATGGTTGACACAAAATGAGTCATATTTATTTTTAAACGTGGCAGTTGCAGGCGAAACATATGGACTTGGTGTGAAAATACCTGAAGAATCACACCAGCAGCTCTGTGAGGCTATACTCAGGCTGTAATTAGTGGTGCTTTGAAGAAAATTCAAATGAAGGCATTGATGATGGTGCTAGAGAAAAAGTCAGAGGGTCACCAAAGTGAGATTCATCATATGGGGACCATTTAGAATATGGAGTATAACAACTTATTTAATGAACTACTAGAAAATGTGTACAAACCAGAAATTTGATTTTAAATTTAAAAAAAAAAAAACAAGAAAAAAACAAATGTTTTCAAAGATGCTATTTACAGATGTGCACCAATCTGGCTTCTCCCTGACTTTACTGGACACTATATAGTCGCTGAGGTACACAGCAAAAACATAGTCAAGTCTGGTGTGCTGCCCTGCCACTGGAGCAGTCAAAGCTTCCAGCCCTGAAGACCTGAAATATTATTGGTCACATGACACACCAACAATGACCTTACAACCATGCACAGTCGTTATAGCAATCACCTAGCAATCACCTAACAGCCATCTATCAGCACCCTAGGGACAACTTCACACACTCAAGCCTAGGCACCCCCCAACACCTGAACATCTTCTTACAATGCCCTAGCAATGCGAGGGCAAAGTGTTAATCATGTATTCTTATTCATATTCCTCTCAGTCCAGGGAAATCCTTGAGTAATCTCACCTATTCACTAAGTGTTTTGTGGCATCCTTGGCACAGAGGCGTTGTTTTAAATCTTTGCCCTATAATTAAATACAGGTAGAGGTATCGATTACACAGTTGTAATCTTGCATGGACTGCCATGTGTGTCAAGGGAGTGCACAGAGGTGATGTTAACCTGATAGGAGAAGGACACAGGAATGATGGAGGTGAAGAGGAGCGTTATAACAGGATTTTTCCTTTTCTCCCCGTTGTTTGATGATTAATCGAAACCCATTAGTGTGGAGACGAGGCCAGTGAATTCACTCTTAATTAGTTTCTTTTTTTACCCCTCATTCTCCTTTGCTTTGACACAGGGCGTAGGCACTATCTGCACAATGAGGGATTGGCAACCTGCTTATCTGATTTTGCTGCGAGTCTCGTGCAGCTGGCATTATTGCTGTACTGTGCAGTATCAGGAGGCTGGTACCTCACCTGGGGCTTTAAAATGCACTGCTTTATGTGAAACCAGATGCACACACACGTACCCGCACACAGTGATTCATTTAGCAAACTCAGCAGAAGGACATTTAGAGGTGGTGTAGTGGTATTCACTCTTTAAGCTCAGCTCTCGGCGGAGGTTAGATCTGTTGGGGAATGGACATGCTGAGATTTAGCAAGTAAATCCAAACCCCCCCCCCGGACCACCACCACCGCCACCATGGCTCCAGGATCAATGTGATCTTTGTTATGAGCACAGCAAAGGAACGACACACCCACCAGCACTTAATTAAAAAAGATCTGACACAGATACTGTTCTCTGACACAGTGTCTACCCCTGACCCTGCTGCTAATATCTGAACCCAGGGTGGGAATAGGTTCAAGTAGTGTAATTGAGGAGGAGGCAATCCATCTAATCCTGCCATTGTCAGCACTCGCCCTTCCCCTTTTCCCTTGTATTGCTTTTGCACTATTCCACAGGGAAGATTATAGACCTGTCAGCTTTTACTTATTTATGTTTTGAAACACTAAAACACCCTTTGTCAGCAAATTAGTCAAAAGCTTCATGGGAAAAACTCCTAGTAATCATAATTTATGATATGGGGCACTTTTTATGACTATATTTTGTACAGATACTTAAGCAGCTAATTAAAATGTTTAAAGCAACTCAAAATTATTTGGCACAAAGCCTGTTACTGTATGTTTGTTTGAGCTCAAATTAATTCAAAAGTATACACAAAGAAATCCCAGCACATCCTCATTACCGGGAAGTTTCTGAGCTGCCTGTCATAGCAGGAAAACTGTGCAGCTCTGCTTTTCTTCATACTTCACACCTGGATATTGGCTCCCGCCTCTCAGCTCTAAATCCTTGAAAAGCCTTTTTGTTGTCACAGTCATTCCAGCCAGGTGCTGCAGACTTGAGGTTGATGTGAGGGACAGCTTACAGGATTTAGGAGTTGTCAAATGTAATTGTACAGAGCCAAAGACAAAATGACAGTTTTTTTTTTTCATTCTCCCCTTCCCCCTCCCCTCGTCCCTTTGGTCTAGTTTTGATTGTACTGGTCGTGAGAGCTTCAGGGTTTATGTGGACGTGTTTGTGCAGCCAATGTCATTCTTCACTGAGCTGTGTCACTATTACTGCCCTGTAAATGGATTTCACATGAAGAGGAGTTGCAGCGAGTGGGGCCGATGACAAGGATGGTATCTTCACATGTTATCAGCACTGAAGTGGCCTGATGGTTTTTACACTGACATTATTGATCAAGTGGGGTCCCTGTTAAAAAGATACTTCATTCACAAAATGTTCATTTGTAAATCAGTTAGTCATGTTGTGTTGCTTTGAATTTGTGAAGAAGACTTGTTTTTCTGGCATGCCTCCACTGAAAACAGCAAACATATTCATGTATTGATTGGTTGGGGACCACGCCTAACAACAAAATATCAAAACATCTGTTTACAAACTCTCACACAACCCGAGCAGTATAATCCAAATCTCATTCATCCAGTAGTATGCTCAGTATCTCTCAAACACTAAATTTCGTTAAAAACTTACTGTTTAAAAATGAAAGTGAAACTTATCTATGCTCTCTTCAAATCTGCGGCCAGTTTTTCTAGGGAAACTGCATTTGTTTGGTAAGCACCGAGCATACAAATGGACTAAGACTTAGCTGTGGGTGACATATTGATTATACTGGATGTATCGCAGCATGTTCCATGTGGGATGTATAAAATTACTATATTGTGAGCATCAAGTATAAATTGTCATGTTTTTTTTTTTTTTTTTTTTTTTTCAAGCTTCAAGCATGAGACTCTCTCTTAAGGCTCTCTCCCTCTAACAGACAAAAAAAACAAACTCATAAAAATGATACGTCACACACACTCCTCCACCCATCCAGACCACTCTCTCCTTGGCGATAGTGTGAGCAGGTGAGGCAGGTGTTTTTGTATCTGAAGGGCTCCTAACCACGACCATAAAGCACCAGTGCAACTTGCAAATATTATTAATATACAGACTGGAGAGCTGTTGGTTTGTTTCCCATTCACAGTGAATAAATCCTCAAGTTTAATGGCACGGTGGTAACAGTTTAACTTTCTGCTAACCGCTAACATCTAACTGTGACTGGGAGCTTCAAGATCATAGCAAAAACACTTCCGGCCCAAGACAAGTGGAGTACTTCAGAATAAAAGCACCAGTGGTTCTACTTTGATTTATTTCACTTTATTGTAACAGCACTATGTTTTACTTTAATATACAACAGTAGCTACTTAAACTTTATTGTAACTTTTTATTTAGTAGTTTAGTATTTTAGTAGTTTTGAAGAAAACTATATCACAAACTGTATCACAATGTATCCTAAAAATATTGCAATACTATGTATATGCCATATCATCCGTTCCCTCTTGGATTATGCTGCACAGATTGTGTGAGAGTTTGTAAATGCATGCTATGTCATAGTTTGCTGCTGCTGAATGTGATTCCAAATAAATCAATAGATCAATATGTTTGCTGTTTTTGTGTAGGCATGCAGGAAAGTTTTCTTTTGAAATTCGATTGAATATGGCATGACGGTCATTTTGTGGGTGAAGTATGCCTTTAATCTTGGCCTTAACATGCAGTTACAACGCTAAGTTTTACTGCCACTGCACTTATGTCGTTCAGTCGGAAGTGGACAGCTGGGCCGTGTCAACCTTTTGGGTGTTACTGCACCTCAGAGGAAGACTCTGACTGCTAATCTTTTATTAAGCAACACAGTCTGGGCTGTGACATTTACATACTCTTTCCCCGAGCCAATTAAGCTCTTGATGTGCTGGTTATTATCACCAGGCCAATAATGGAGATTAGCAAAACCACCTCAGTTATTCAGACCGTGGTGCTTATCTTGTCTTGCTCTCAGAAGGTCATCGATTGCCATGATCCTTTCCCACAGTGTGTGAGCAGTCTCACATCTCTGTCCTTTGTGCTCCTCCAGACCTGCGGGAGATAGTGTTTGTCATCCAGAGTCAAAGCAACTCCTTCCATGTGAGGCAGGCAGAGAGACGGAAAGCAGACCTACTGAAGCAAGCGCACGGTCTCACAGAGGTAAGAAAACATGCTTCACCTATGCACACGTTATTATTTTTGAAGACCATGTGAAAGCTCACATACGTTTTAGAAGACATCACTAGCAGCAAACATCATATCTGAATATGAGTTGCTGTGAGCTGCAACAATCCTTTTGATTGGAAATCCATTTGGGAGAAAGAACTCCTAACATAATTTCACTCTGTAGAAATAAACTTTACCAAGTGTTTGCCATGTGTTACACAGTTACTCAGTACTGATAATTTTAAATATTGAATGATAGAATGAAGAATTATTCATGGTATCCTTCATATTAAACCTCTTTCATCGAAAATATGAAAGTGTGGTTTGAAATATGCAACATTCTCAGCTCCTGGCAATAGTAAATGATGTTCTTACTTATAATTTTATGTATTTAGGAAATGCAGACATTTGTGCAGCTTTGATGCTCAGATATGTATCCCTCTTCCCAACAAATCAACCTTCCATTTCTGGCCTCTTGTAGGTAAATTTTTAATGAGAAGTGATGATCATCCGAAGGCATATGTTCATAAGTAATTCCTGATTAGAATTCAGATATTCCAAAAAATGGCTGGAGGAAAGAATAAAACCTTATTCTCTTCTGGGACTTCAGCTCAGTATTTCATGCAATTTGTGAAATAACAGTAAGTAAATCAGCATTATGTCAAAGGAAGACACGCAGTACGTTTACAGGTCACAGTGCCTTTTTGCTTCTGTTCATTGAATCTCTTCAGAGCCAGATGAAATGTGGTGTAATACACGAGATATATTCCGTGTGGTTAAATAGTGAATGCAGCATCACTAATGACAATATTACAGTAAATTAGATGAAGGAACTGCACGCTGTGTTTCCTGCAGCAAGAGACCAATTTAGATCCCCTGTTTGGGTTTATATTTCTGTGGTCTTGGATTTGTTGTTGATGTTGTCTCTGTCTCCTCCGCTGCTGGATTTTGCATACCTTTTTATCTACATTATTAACTGGCTGTACCATACAGAAAAAAAAAAATAATCACAGTGAATCATTATTTCTCCTTTTAGTGCTCTTTTTCTCGTTTAAAAAATACTTTGTGTGCCACACAATTTAAATCATGGATGCACCGATCTGACTTTTTTAGTCCCAATACCCACACCTGGGCTTTTGGTACACCGGTGTCTCATTAATTAGCTGCATGCCTCACTGGGTGGAAGTGACCAGGCAACATTAGGCTTGACTTAAAGGGATATTTTGCTCATTTTCAACTAGCTTTGTATCATAACAATGTGGGTGGTATCTGTAAATAAACTGTGATAAATTTCCTTCCATCCTAACAGCACCCAGATCTCATCTCCCAGTTGAAATTGAAAGTCATCATTTGATGGATTTTTGCTGGCTGTACGGCTGTAGCTCAAAGTACAGCAGCAAGTGCTTTTGCTCAAACTTCCGCATTTTCCTCAAACTCAGACTAAACTCTGATCAAATGGTAAAACTAGCCAGTGCTGATCAAATATAAGCCAAGATTCTGTTACTTTGTTGCCTAATTCTCACCTACAATCTCCCTAGAAACATATTCTAGTGCACTGTTTGGCTGTAATATGAGAATTAGTGAAAAAGAGGCAGGCACCACACTGTTGCCTGTATTGTGAAAAACAGGCTACCTCTGCATTGCCCATTTCTCAACTCAAATGTCTTTAGAAACATATTTTAGCTTGCCGTTTAACTGTGCATTCCCAGCAGGCAGCCATATTGTTTCCTGTGTCAAAATGGACAAGCTCACATTACATCACCCACTAACACCAGTGTTTATTGGTTCAGGGCAGCTTAGTGCATTTTGGTGGTTGTAGGTTTTCTACAAAGTGACTGAATTATTATTTATGATTAATAAATCATGCTCCAGCAACTTGGTAATAAAAATATTCAGAATAAACAGGCATTTTAAATGCAGGAACAAATGGGTCAAAATTAAACAGAAATTAGATTTCCAGTATAAAACAATGCAGGTGTAATCATACATAAACATAGAAATTAACTGAATAGATTTGTCCCTCTGTCAGCAATATCCAGTCCAGCTATTTGAGTCAGTATTGCCCCGGTATCCAATGTCTGTGTCGGATTTAAATACCATGCTCTCAGAAAAGTACTGGAGGCCTGATGTTTTGTTTGTCTCCTGTTCTTCTACAATAACTCTGAAATCCTTTACTCCACCTTCAGCAATACAAAGAACAAAATACATTCATTATCATTTAAATCTGATAAGTCAAATTTGTCCACAATTTGGAAAGATTGTTTCTTGTTTCCTGTAATGAATAGTGGCACGAGTTCGTGCCAGTGGATAAGATTTGTCATGAAAAGATTTAGTTACACTAATGGACGTCAGAATTCATCAGATGAGACAGACTTTATGAATACCGCATCATGTTGTGTTTGCATTTATGATCTCAGAGATGTCTGGAGTTTTAGTATCTGTTGCATGCAATTACATAAACTAATTCCAGGGAGGATTTTAATCAGCAACTTCTCCAAGAGGCAGCTGTAAAGGCTTGACAGCCTTTCAAAGTGATATAAGACCCAAAGACTTCATCCAAATGAGTTATCTGCACAGAATCAGAGTGAAAATACCTTCAGCCTCAGGTGTACCTGGAAAGCACTCAGAGAGCACATGCTGCACCTCTACCAAGGCTGCACAGTCCTCAAATTTATTTATTCATTTTTTAATAAAAGAAAATGTTCAAAATTTCAATAGAGTCTGGCGCTACAGCTGTACAGAGGATCATTTTATCCCCCCAAAAACTTAATTCTACACAGCTTGAAAGGCTACAAAATACCAAATGGAAAAGGGCATATGCATAAGAGAGATGAAACAGGGAAGGGACAAAAACAGCTTTACATATTAATACTTCTATATGTTTTATAATGTTTATATTCCATTGCATGTTGAAATTCCAGCTTTTGCATTTAAGCTTTTATTTCTGCATTAACGTTTAAGATTTTCTAGTTTTTGTTTTAGGACCTTCACTTTTCAAAGGTCCATTTTTCAGATATAAAACTTAAATTCTCCAATCCATCTCAAGCACTGCCACCCCCACCTAAAGTCAAACACCAGTTACAGCCAGACATCCACCAGTTCACTCCCACCTCGGAGGCACAAACACACAGGCTTACAATCTGCTATTTGACAGTCTCAAAGTGTGTTCGAGGGATACTGAAGGAAGAAGATCAAAGACATATAATACAAGAGATCACTTAGTTTGTAGCTGTTAAACATGTTTGATGAACAGTATCTTGTGGTGCATTGCCATGGAGAGAGCTTTGCACAAAACCCTTTTCTTGTCTTGAAAATATCTTGAGATCAGAAAGACACTGGAGACGTAAGAGAACTGAAATAACCTTTGATTTCAAGTCTTATGCTCAAAACCGAAGGTTCGGGGTTTGATTAAACTGCTGTCATCCAGGCTTTTTTGGATTTTCTTTTCTGTAGGTCAGGAAAAAAAATGGCTAGTATCCAGTGTCCAGTTCCCAGTGTCCAGTATTATGGTCAAAAGCCTTGGCGCGGACATTTGTGGAGAGATAGTGGGTCAGCAGTATGCCTCATAGAAGTGGTGTACATCATCTGAAAGCTGGAAACCAGAAGATTAATTTGAGATGCAGTTCAGCGCTGTCTGTCAAGATTTTCCAGTCACTAATCTATCATGAACATTGTGTTTTGTTTCAGCCCCAACTCCAATTTTGAAGTGTAGAGTGTACTATAGGGGCTTAGAACATTATGATGGACATATACGATGGCTATTTCCATGCTCAGTGATGTCTCATAAGTTGTTGCAGCAATTTTTTAGGTGGTTACAGTGTTTTGATGATACATTTGAGCATTTTTCACCACTCAAGAATTGATAGAAAATAGTAAAAAATCCCTCCAAAAAACACACTAAATGATTTAAGGCTGACTTAGTGTTGCTAATTATGTGAAATTTCAGAGTTGAAGATTTATGACCTGATGATATGAGACACATATACAGTGTGTTTTTCTATTTCTGAGCCTTTTTCACCCTCAGTGGATATTTCAGTTTTATCCTCGTGTAGCCATGCAAGGTTTTGTGATATCCACAGATTTACACAGACAGGAACTTGCGCATTCTGTGTGGCAGCTCACAGCCCATGTTCCTGCAGTCTGACATTCTGCCTTCTGGGAGGAATTCACATTACATTTACACAGTATTTTTGTCGTTTAGCCAATGCTCATGTCCACAGAGACGCATATGTACAACAGAAAGAGATTAAACTCAGAAACCTTTTACAGCAGTAGTGCAATACACCATGTTTCTAAACTCTTTCTCATGCATCACTTGTATTTAACAAGTTATGTATTTAAAGGTACAGGGTGAAGGATTTAGGGGGATATGTTGGTTGAAATTAAAAACAATAAGTGTGTTTTTTTTAGTATAAGATCACCTGAAAATTAGAATTGTTGTGTTTTTTGTTACCTTGGAATGAGATAATGTTTCTACGGTAGCCCAGAATGAACAAAGCAAACACTGGCTCTAGATAGAGACATTCATGATCAATTACCACTGAAGAACCAACCAGGAGAAATGTCAGCAGGTTGCAGTCTGAAATCCTCACTGCTAAATGCCAAACTGTTCCTTTAAGGAGCCACTGTTATAAAAATATTTCAATATGGATCTCTGTTCCTCAGTTAGAGATTTGGCCCTCATTGGCATCAATGTCACTTTTGACTGCAGCTCATCACTGAAGTGGATTTGACAGGTTGCTATCTCCAGTCTCCCCTCCGGCCCTTCCTATGGGTAAAAGCACAGCTTCCTGTCTCTCCATTACAGCTAGGTCTTCGTGACCCCCATCTTCTCCCAAGTCACCAAGCAATTGGTGTCTTATTCGTTGCACACATGTCCACACATGGACCAGCTCTTATCTGTTGAGGAGTCTGCAGCTTGCACACAATTGCTGTAAAAGAATCAGCCTCTTCTTATCGAACGCCTCCTTCATCACAGGAATGTCAATAGCTCTTTGAAGCAAAAGCTTTGTTCTTCAGATTGTATTATTATCTGAAGACAGCACTTCTTCTATTCAACTTTTCTCTTAGTTATTCTTTTTATATAACAGACATGGTGTGAACGCGAAAGAGGGAGTCATTTAATAAAACATGGTAGGTGTCATTACACCATTAGCTTTTAGATAAAGTTCATAAGAGACAAGAGCTAACTGACTAATAGGGTTTAATAAGTGTAAACAGTGTCAGACTCATCCCCTAAATCAAACAGGCTGCTGTTAGACAGAGTGGCTCAGAGGAGACTGTTCCCCCTGACTTCCTGCATGATGAGTGGACCATGCTGTAATGAACCATAGGGTCTTACGCTCTGCTGCTTTGTTTTCCTGACAGTGTGAAACATTGGCTTCCTCAGACAATCCTCACACACCTTCTACCATCCGTCCTCGCTGCAGAAAATATCACTGAAACAGATTCCTTTTATTTGGAAGTGATTGTGTGAACTGTTCGTGTCCTGTAATATCCTGTGCTTGTTTCCAGTGATATTTCTGTCTTACTTACAGCTTATTTCTTAGTGCAAGGGCGAGCAAGAACAGTAACCCTGAAGGCAATATGGGTTTTAAAGGATAACAAGCGTTATATTCTTAAAGGGACAGTTCACCTCAAAATAAAAAAATACATATTTTTCCCTCTTATCTGTAGTTCTATTTATCAGTCTCGATTGTTTTGGTGTGAGTTGCCAAGTGTTGGAGATATCAGCCGTAGAGATGTCAGCTTTCTCTTGAATATAATGGAAATAGATGGCGCTCAGCTTGTGGTGCTCAAAGCACTAAAAAATACATTTGAAAAACTCGACAGCAATGTCTCTTTCCAGAAATCAGGACCCAGTTGGTCAAGGTAATCCGCAGACTTTGTTGTGAGCAGGTTTATGTGGGAGCTATTTTCTTTCTACCAAACCGCCAATGGTATCATCAATGAATGTATGAGAGGCTTGTGACAGCACGAGATAAAAACAATAATGGCGTCCTCTTCGGCTGAGCTGTAACTTATGTAACTGCTAGCTCATTGGTGCTAGGTGAGCTAGCAGTAGCTTCTATGCGGTGATACGGTTGGTGGGTGTAGTTCAGCAGAAAGAAAACTGTACCTGAAACTGCTCACAACAAGGTCTGTGGATTATCTTGAGTAACCAGATCATGATTTCTGGAAAGAGACATTGCTGTTGAGTTATTTACTTGAAGCACCACAAGCCAAATGCCCTCTAGCTACATTATATTCGGGAGAGGGCAAACATTTCTTTGGCTGCCATTTCCAACACTTCGTAGAGAGGAAAAAATGTGCTTTTGATTTTGGGTTGACAGTAGGTTGGCAGTATGCTGCACTTTTCATATTGTCAGCCTATCACATAAAAAGGATCAAAACCAAAATAAATTAAAGCCAAGGTCAAACTGCACAATATGAGCCTGATAATGGACTGACCCAACAGACGTTGGGAATGAATGAAAATGAGGCAACATAATAAGGCAATATAAATAAAATTTACTTAACTTGAAAGGAGCATCCGGTGCAACAGCTGGTCAATGAATCTTGTGTAGTGTGTCCTAGTGGAAGACAACTGACACAGCACTTGGGATGCCTTGTGTCTTCGAAACAGAAAGACTAGGATTTTGCTTTCGAATCAGCCTCTGCAGTGTGTTCTGTGAAGTCGGCCTGTAGGCAAAGCGAAAATGGGAATGATGTTTTATTTAATTTCAGAGAACCTGTAACCATTTTCATATCACCCTCTGGTCAGGAGCATTATACCAAATTAATCATACCTGTGTGTGCGATCACAGCCACCCTCTGCACTGACTGGAAAGAAAAAAAGACAGAGCCCACTTTCTCTGACAATGGACAATGAATTATTCCAGGTCCCCCCCAGTGTGTATACATATGTAAACATTCATTGTTGTTGCAGTCAGGTGTATAGTAAAGACGTTTTCTTGCTTTTTACTGTTGATCTGCTGTAGGTGTGCAAGGTGGCCAGATTCATAGTAAAGAAGCAACATGTCAGTGCAGCAGTGATCTGTTTTTAGACAACCATGGAGTTCTGTGGTACATCAGACTTTGGCAACACAGGAATTGCCTGAGGAATAAATCTGATGTTGGTTTTGGTCTTTTCCTGGGATTTGTTGACACTTAAAAGACTGTAAAATATCACCATTGTTATCAGACTTTGGTCACTTTACAGTCTGTGTTCATTTTTGTCAGCATACCACAATATTGCAGTGAGGTCAAGCAGCGCAGATCTTTCAAATTGCATTATCATGCAGCGATAATGTAACATTAACGAAAATAACAGTAGACTTGATGTTCACTGGGATGGATTAATCAATTCAAGCAAGTTTTAGCAGAGTCTGCTAATAGATTTTCATATTTTACACATGAATAGACAATTGTTTGATGGTAGAAGAATATAAATGGTTATTTTTAATGTGGAGTGTATGTGAGCTGTAGAAAAAGCGCTATAACATACAAAACCACTGTTATGGTCCTTTAAAGGAACAGTGTGTAAGATTTAGGCACATTTAGTGGCATCCAGTGATGAGGACTGCAGATTGCAACCAGCTGAAACTTGAAACCTTGAAATCCAGATGCCCCACCCCTAGCAAATTCGAATTTGCTCTGCACAGGGATCTGGCCCCGTCGAGCAGAGCCCATTGAATCGCCATCAGATCAGTCTATCTGACAGAGGCAGGCTCTGGGCGGGCGTAACATGATGACGACAGCGCTGTGCCATAGGAGTCGAAAAGTAAACAGCCAAGATGGCAGCTGCCGAAGGACCACGTCCATTCAATTTAGCTTTGGAAGAAACGCTAAGCCAACTACACTTATCTTTTTCCTCGACAGAGGAACAGGAGACTGCCCTAGAAGCCTTCGTTTCCAGGAAGGATATTTTTGCTGTTTTGCTGACGGGATATGGCAAAAGCATAATATATCAGTTAGCCCCACTGTTCTGCAAACAAATAGGGCTTAGTGCAATGAATATGTCACCTTGTTTTTTTGCTCTGATTGGCTATCGTGCTATCCAATTGCGTGCGGCGGCATTTAATATGTCTCAGTTAGTGCCGCCCCTTGGGTAGTAAGGGTGTATCTGTGAAGGCCAGACTCAATCTTTGTAGATTTGAGTCTGGATTTCCAGGCTACCTTGAGCGTTCATTGTTCAGTGTTTTCTCACATGCTCTCACCACCAAGGGGCTGCTAACGTTGGTGGCCGTCATTAAAAGGAGAATGGCCCCATTTAGAGCCAGTGTTTGGTTTGTCCACTCTGGGCTACTGTAGAAACATGGCAGTGCAACATGGTGATCTCAGTAGATGAGGACCCGCTCCTTATGTACAATAGGCTCATTCTAAGGTGACAAAATCATGATGATTCTCATTTTCAGGTGATCATACACTAAAGAAAACACACTCATTATGCCACTTTTGCCAAAATATACCCCCCTACACACTGGACCTTTAAGTAAGAGACTAGAAAGTCAGTGGTTTGATGTGCCAGTTCTGGACCATGCTTGTCCCTATTACCGGACAGTGTCTCCAAACACCAGCCTACCCTCAAGTCCTTTGCTGCAGACAAATTGCTTGCAGTGTCTTAAGCTTTGTGTGTCGGTTGTACAGATAATAAAAATCACTGTATCTCTGGTTTGTGTGTTTTGTTTTTTTCTTTCAGAAACCACCGGTGGTTTTGCTTCTTCACAGTTTATCAGATAATGAGGGAGACTGGAGTATCCTTCCTCTGCTGCCTTAGTAAGTATCCCAGAACTCTCAGGATGGAATGAGCATGCCATTAAACTAAAGATTTAAAATGTTGACCAAATGTCAGAAACATTGGGCTCTCCTCCTGCTGAGATTTTGGAGGTTATATTTTGGTTTTGAGGACATATTGTTAGACACTTTTTAAGGCTGCAGATTGCTGAGAAGCAATTACCCACATAAAAACTGTGATTGATTGCCTCACAGTCTGATAAATGTCTTCCTAATGTGTCTATAACTGCAACAATAAACCTATGACTGCAGTTATCCAGTGGCCTGAACAGCATGATAATGACATTAGTTACAGTTGTCTACATGCTTGGGCCTTCTCAGAAATCCAATATGTGTTCAATAATTGTTGGAGAGATGTAGAATAACATAACATAACTTCTTCCATCATACAGATTTAGGACATAGATCACCAACAGCACCCTGAATCATTACAGAGCCACCCTCGCTGAAAGAAGTCTGTGTGCTTGTGATATCTATTTTTTTTTTTTTGTCTTTTTGCCCTCTAGGGAAAACTGTGTGGCTGCCTTGATCTGACTGGGTCAGGAGCCTCAGTTAGATAGTTCCTCAGACTGGACTGAAATGATAAAAACACTGATTTTTTTGTAGGGTTTATCTGTGCATGGCAATGTTCCATTTATTCTTGTTTTGTTATTAAACTCTGGTTTTGATGATACTTTTTTTGTGCATCCTCAGCTTATCTTCCTCCTTTGGGAAAAACTCATCCTGGATTGTATTTCTTGAGGAAGAAACAAATGTGAAGATGACTAAACTGGTTCAAGTCCTCGCAAAATTTGACAAGAATAAAGTAAGTGTATAATATTCCCTCTAACCTCCATCTCTCTGTGTGTTTCTCTTTGTTGCTCTGTCTCTCTATGCCAAATTCATCAGCGAGACAAAAGCTTCCTGTTTGGAGCTCCAGTTTAGTTGATCATCGGTTCAATTAAGTGATACAGTATCAGTTTGGCTCCGGCTCGGCTGCAGCTGCTGAGCTGCACTGAGCGCACATTGTAACCTGTCAGACATGTCGCTCCAGTCTCTGCTGTAAACCTAATTTAAGCTCTGTCTTTCCACTCATGAAATTATTTTTCTTGTATGTGGGTCGATGTGGTAGGTTGAATATAAATATTGCATAAACACGGCAGTCAGATAATCATAATAAAAAGATTTTTGCTTAATCAAGCTCAGCAAAATAGCTTTCTCCATCAATAATTTGTTCGTTTATGAATTTTTAAAACAATCCCAATAACTAGTGCATTTTTATGGTTCACAGGGCTATTGTGTTGCTATTTGTGCTTGTTGATAAGCCTTTGTTACACAAGTTTGAGCTGGCTTTCAAGTGAAACAGGGCCAAAAATGATGTTAAATACACTTTGATGTAAAGCCTACAGGGAAAAAAATAACTTAGTTTTATCAGCAAATGCTGAAGTTTGCTTCAGTCTGTCTCAGAGCAATGCTGCACAGAAATAAATGGAAACCTTTTTATTGTTATCTATTGTTGCCATGTGTTTCCTAGTATGCTGGCAATCTTCAGTGTGAAGAATTAAAACACACGTCTGTAGTTGCGCTCATAAGGGAGAGGGGGGTGATGGTGAAAATAACAGAAAGCTGATATTATGGTTTCATCTTTTAAGCCAGTGCAAAGATATATTTTGAAACTAGACAACCAAGGCATCCGTTGTTAGCAACCACATTGGCATAGTTGGTCTGGAAGGGGCCTTAACACGCTCCAAATAAGGCTAAATTTTGGCAAGGGACCATCTGGCATGGCCGTTTTCAAAGGGGTCCCTTGAACTCTCACTTCAAGACATCTGCCTGAAAATGGGTTCTATGGGTACCTGTACTGTAAATCTCCCCTAAACTTGAGAAGGCTTGTTCCAAGTAAATGCTATGTTTCTTATGATCAGTGTGCATCTTCAAATTAAAGCTGTATATTTGTCTTTTGAAGGAAAAGGAGAACCAGCCTATTTAAAAAACAATGAATCACCTAACATGTAAATATAACGCATTAAAACAGGAGTGTTGTGGAACTCAAAGTGTTAACTGTGTCAGTATTAGTCTGTGCACATCAGATAATTAGTTGAAATTACTGTTAAAAAAAAGTATAACAGTATATGATTCCTTATCTCTCCATATTGACATAGTTATCAAGCAGCCTATATACTTTAAAAACATGTGAATTCCTAAAATTCAGAATAGTTTTCATTTCAGCGGCACCATGAAAAATTTCTCTGGACACAACCATCTTCTCATCTGACTCTTAAATAAGCATATTTCCCCAACTGTTGAACTGTTCCTTTAAACTTCATGTCATTTAACTCTTGCAGGAGTTTCTCTGTATACAGTATAAAATTATTTTTACTCTGGATATGTAAATTCTGATGAGAGCCTTTGTGACTACAATATCTAGTATCTTTTGAACTTTCTCCCATCAAGAAATCTCATTATTTTCACAGCCAGTGACAAACTTAGTCACCAGAAAGAATTTCAAAGATTTTCTTGCCAGCACGGTGTTGAAAACTCCCAAATTAGGCCAGAGGCTCAGTATGTTAATGGTAAAAAAGGCGTTAAAAAGAAAAACATCTCAAAGTAAAAAGAACTAACCTGCACTCCTGCTGGCTTCCTGTCGTCTACTTCTCATTTTTCAGGAGTGGTTTCTTGGTAAGCCCCTCCAGGACGAGGAGTCGACCATCATCCATCACTACGCGTTTGCAGAGAATCCCTCCATCTTTAAATATCCAGATTTTGCCGCTGCCTGGGCCTTAAGCACCCCCCTTGTTGTTCGGTGAGTATCTGCAGTAAATCTCTTTGTCTGTGAAATTGAGTCATTGAGTTTATATCTCTGCAGTAATATTTTTTGAGAGGTTATATTTTGTCTTTATTGCATATTTCAACCAAAAATCTGTGATTTGTTTTTTTAGGCTTGCAAACAAAGTGAAAGATGAGCCACTTAAATCTGACTTCACCATTGATCTGAAACATGAGGTGAGATAGCATGCGAGTCACACGGTTCCGTTCAGACCTGTTGTGTTTGGAAAGTGATGATGAGGCTGCTGGTTTTCAGCCATTTTCTAACAATTTTCTCATTTCTCACACTCAAGCCAGCACCGACCTGCTATAATTTATTTGCACAAAAAGCGCAAGGCATGAAATCCATCTAACCTTGAAGCGAAATCTCATTACTTTGGAGAATTGTCATGGTGCTGCATTGGGGTTCTTATTTTTATCACTGAAATTCAGTCAGGGAGGCATCCAGGGATTTCGTTGAGTAAACACGGCATCAGACATATCAAGCGGAGTCTGGAAAAGGTGGTTCGGTTAGAGATGGCATGAGTTCAGTCCTAGAGATTCAATTACAATACTGTATATTCTTTTGTTTAAAAAAACAGGATGCAATGCATTTTATTTCCTGCTGAGGTTTCATTTATAAGTTGTTTCAGAATTAGATTAAGTCATATTTTGTTGCAGATGAATGGGCTTCCAGACACCAAGATGCACATCACAAATTATGCACATGCAACCTCATGCAAGTGAATATGAAGACAGCTGTTATGCAAAAGTACAGACAAATATTGCATGAATCTTCAATGTCAATCCAGTTCACTGTCAGTAGATTAGCTCCAGGCTCTAAGTCGGCAAAACATCACAGTTTCTAGTTTCTGTAGTTCCTTATTCTTTGAGACAGTTGCCAATGTTCAGACAGCTCTGATTGTACTGTCCTCATTATGTATTCTTTTACTGTAACGTCTGGATCTCCCCCGTAGAATAGTTCAACTAAATCCTAGATTTTACGTTATTCTTCAGAAAGAGGTACAGTAACATTCACCAGCACTCAATTTCTCCTTCTCCATGATCCTCTTATATCTTGTCTTAGTCATCTTAAATATTACATTTGCTCATTGGAGTTTTGTTGTGAGAGAGAAAATGTTATTTACTAAAGAAGAAGACATTGCTCATCTCTTCTGTTGAGTTTGAGATAACGCATTAATGTCTGAAAGATTGCATCTTGTCTTTGGCTCAAAAACTTGAAAGGATCAATCTGTGTTATTACAGGTTGCCTTGTATATCTGGGACAACGGGAAGGGTCCACATCTCACTGCTGTTCCTGAGCTGTGCACTGAGCCGGAGGACTCTCCTCAGACCCACCACTGTGCCACCACTCTGAGCGTCGAGCCACCTCTGTGTGTGAGTGTCTGATCTGTGTGCAGATCAATTAGATTTTCTCCAGTTCCCGGGAAACGGTAAGGGAACAAAATTAAACATAAAACAGAGGGCGCTTCACTATAAGATGTTGGCAGTTCTGTGATGATGTATGACACTCCGCTGTCAGCCTTCGTGCCCACGGCCACATGGAAGCAGCGCCAATATTTCACCGTGCAGCATAGCCTTGAATGTTATTACGTCATACACCATTCAGTGGAGCATTGTGCTTTAACCTAAGAACACTGGAGTCTTGGGTTTGTTTGCTTACTAAACTTGATTAAAGGACAACTTCAGTATTTTTCAACCTGGGCTCTGTTTCCCCATGTGTATGTGTGCGTATGATTCATGGGTACCACTCGTTCTAAAATTGGTTCAGTATTGAGCCGCGAAACGAGCTAAAACGGTAATGGGGGCAAATGCGTCCTGTATAAACGTGCTTTTTTTCGCCACTGACCGGTTCAGATCGCCAGTGCTATCTCTGTAAATAGCATATGGTAGCGGCCCTGGGGCAGTGGTGAGTGTGAATGAGTGGAGTCAGCTGTCAGTCAGTGTTGGAGCAGAAAGGCGGAGGGCGTCCCCGCTCGGTATTGTAAATGAGCATTCTAACTTAGCCTTTCCCTTACCTCTGGGCTGTGTGATGTCACGAGCTTTGCTCCACTGTGTCTGTAGCTCTCTCTACTCGTGGGACAGCCGTTTTCTTGAGGAAGAGGTGTTTCGGGATTGGATGTCTTCTCTTCTTCGGCTGGCAGTAGTAGTACTCTTATAGCGTAACACACACTTCACACACACATACTCATTTACATTACCAAGCAGGGACAACTTCCGCCTTTCTGCTCCAACACTGACTGACAGCTGACTCCACTCATTCACACTCACCACTGCCCCAGGGCCGCTACCATATGCTATTTACAGAGATAGCACTGGCGATCTGAACCGGTCAGTGGTGAAAAAAAGCACTTTTATACGGGACGCATTTGCCCCCATTACCGTTTTAGCTCGTTTCGCGGCTCAATACTGAACCAATTTTAGAACGAGTGGTACCCATGAATCATACGCACACATACACATGGGGAAACAGAGCCCAGGTTGAAAAATACCAAAGTTGTCCTTTAAGTCATCCAGAGAGAAAGAAGTACTTCCCTGTTGCTAAGCAGCATCCTTTTGCGTCCTGCCATTATCTTGGGTTGCATCTAATTTTTTTTCTACTTATTTTTGATATTCATCTAAATGCATTCAAGTTTATCAATCTTCAACACTGACTTTGTGTCAGCTAACATTCAAAGTTGTTTTAGGGTTTTGGCTAATCTCCCTCTGTTAAATTCATCCTTTCATCATTTCTGAACCAAAGAAGTCAGATTTCATATGCAACTTCAAGTTGTGCCCAGCTGGTGACTAACCAGCTCCCAATTACTCCCTCTCCTTTCTTCTCGTTATCTCTTTTGTTAGCCATCTTACACACATGCTCATCAGAATTTTGTCGCATGAGCATAGCTATTGTATTTATCATAAGAAAAACCTAAATCATTCCACCTATTTTTTGATGTATTTAAATAACAGTGTCTGAGGGATATGTGTTGCTTGTTAATAAGCTGGCTATGTTGTTTCTCTGTGGTAATAAAACATTTGTAGAAAAAGCATTGGAAATTTAGTTATTTAAAGGAACAGTGTGTAAGATTTAGTGGTTTTTACTGAAGGTCGAATTATCCTCAGATGTCTCCTCCTCTCTAAAACAAAGACAGAGACAAGGTGATTAAGAACAGTAAAAATACAGAATAATGCAAATATAACATTTCATCAAATATCCTGTCTCTTATTGTGTATTAAAGGCTTTATTACAAAATTAGTATTGAGCTTTAGTGGTAGATCTCAGGCGTAGTTTCCTGTTTGCTGGATGATACAGAGAAAAGATATTACAGTGGGTTTGATGTGCAAGGGAGGAATATCAGGAGGCAGGCTGTTTCTTACTATAGAGTAATCCTGCAGGAAATAATTGGCACTATCTTAAGGCCATACTTGATGTTGTGTAGCATCTATGAGGGAGCCAGTGAGTAGGTGTGGCTGAGGGAAAACTCATAATGATGGAGACACAAAGTAAGTAAGGTCGGTTCTCTCTGTGTCACGCAGAAAGGAGTCTGCTTTAATCATCACTGCCAGTGCACTAATGTTACAGTAATGTATTTTTCTGACCATGGTGGTGTGGTGTAGTATAGGCGTGCTTTCTCACATGATATCTGATCTATTGTGAGTGTTATGTTTGCTCTGGTTGAAAGAACAATGGTTTGTGAGCCGATCAGAGTGGCCAGCCATCCTTTAGCAGGCAGTTGTTGACCCCGCATGCAACCTAATGCGATCAATAATGTTGGGAATAACGGATGTGTTGAGAGTGGGTGAGGCGAGTTGAATTTGGGATGAGAGAGCTGCAGAAGAAAGTGTCCCAATTCTGATTTCTCCTCCTTCCCTTCTTAGTTTTGACAGAAAAAAATCCAGTCTGATCTTTTTTTCCCTTTTGTTTGTGATTCAAACCACATACTGCGTGTGCACATGTGGTCGAGATTCTAATCCGTGCTTTTCGCAGTCTGAATTGTCAGAGTTATATCAGTGTGGTTTTCGCCTCCCAATGGAAATCACCATCCTCATAAAACGGCATTCATTTGACCAGAAAACAAGACAGAGTCTCGAGCAGCACAGCGGAGAAACATGAAGGTCACAGGTTTAATAAGTATTCAGGGAGAAGTTTCCATTCAGACTAAACAAGAGGGGACGTATCGTAATCGGGCCGGTGTTCGAAACACTTGCAAGACAAATTGCCAAGCGGGGGCCACAGTCGCACTTGGCTGCAGTGTCAACAAAGAGTCAAGAGCCTCAGGAGGCAGATTCAAGGAGGCGAAGGATGACAATCAACAAAGTGGCCGCGGCAGCAAAACATGTCTTTTTTCTATTTCAGGCAATAAACTTATTGTGATGTCGCTGCTCTCTGCATGCCGGACATTTCAGGACAGATGCTTGTTCAAATTTGTATCAGACATGAGTCACTTTGTAAAATGAGTAAAACAGAGTAGAAATAACATAAACAGAGAATGAGGTCTGATGAGAAAACTGAAAGAGAGCAGTAGAGCTCATAATAAGAATGTATTCTGAGCCTCACTGCAGTTTTCTGGGTCTTAGGTCAACAGAGTGTCTTTGCCTACACACTCAGTCCTGTAATATTTGAATGAGGTGCTGCTTGTCTGTCTGACAGTTGTGTGGATAGCAGTCGGTGCACCTGGAGATGTTCAGATACCTTTTTTTCCTTTTGGTCCTTGAACTTGCCTATCGGCCTATACTGAACACCTATTCAATGCCATTTCATTTAAAAAGCAGCATTACAGCTGTGTACTACTAACCCTGTATGGACTGGAAATGATTGCTATCATTCTTACATGGCATGGCTTTGTAAAACATGAATAGGGAGAATGAATGCTGCAGAACTTTATTTTATTATCTAATTTGACACTTTGCAAATGGCTTAAGTTACACTATTCACTGGACATCAGTTTGTCTTCACCACTCTAACACAGTGGTTGCTGGTGGTAGCACAGTGCAACTTGCTGTGTAGGCTACTGTTTTAGAGCAGTAGCAGTGATTAAGAATTGATTTCCGAGAAAACCGCCCTTTAATCTGGGTGTGATACTACTTTAAAGTTGATTAATAAATTATGTGGAATCAAATCGATGCATGGACTCACGTACTCGCCAGTACTTACAGAGAATCATCATCTAAATCTGAGGCTCCCCTTGGCTTTACAGAGCTTTATTGTAAGTTTCAGCTCATTTTTTAGCTGTCAGACCCAAAGCTTTACTGTTTTGGTTCAATTACACTTGTCTTTTTTGCATCAGCAGCACACAGCTGTTTGCAGCCAAAAAAAAAAAAATCAAAAAAACCTACGAAGATATCGGCTCTCTTTCATAGACATTTTATGAAATCAGTCCTAATGTTACATTGTTGCTTGGTATAAGAATTTGACTTTGACCAACAAAACCAGGCTCAGTAGCTTTATCAGAGTGTCTGGTAAGATTTCAGGTCAGAGTCAAGCCCAGCTGTCAGACCTACAGAACAAGCAGATGCTCAGGAACACTGCTTCTCTTCTGGAGTGCCGAGACCTCCCCCTTTGGTTAGAGTTTGATCTGCCACACTCAGGTCGTCGTTTTAAAGTGCCTGTTATAATGTTTCCTCATCCCTGCTGTCACTCAGATATTGAACGGTAGATAGTATTTACCTGTTGTATGTAGATTGCTAATTTGCACTGATTTCTTACATTGTTAACTTCATTTTTGACCTGGACGCTTCTGAACCACTCTGTAAACTATGTGCTGTTGTTGTTGTCGTCCATCATTATTAGAGTGTTTTATAGGAATCCTTGCTGCTAACCAATTCCCTATAAGGGACAATAAAGACACTTTAAACTTTAGACAGTCTGTCCCAAGACACAGTTAGTGACAAGCTGCTGAACTGAGTAGAGCATTTATTAGCTTAAGAGCCAGATATTTACTTCTGGAGCTGGTTAAGACCAAAAACAGAACTAAAAGAGAATTAATATTAGACTCCAAATAAAAAGTAATTTTGTTCTGTAACTGCTGGCTGTGTAAGAAAGCATTTGTTTCCTAACAGTAAGTAAGTGAAATAATTGAAATAAGCCTTAAATGCAGCCCTTATTTGTATATTATTGTTAAAATGTCTGGCTTTTGGTTTCAATGTGATGCTCAGGCTTCATCTGGGTGTAAGAGACCGTTACTGTACATCACGTCCTGCCTACAAATGTTCTTGGAAAAGTAATGGTTTGTGCAGCAGCTGATGACACTTTTAATGTAGCGTACATTTTTAATGCATTCTGTCTGTTGTTGATTTAGTGAATCTTTCTGTGTGACTTTTTGAGCTGGTGAAAAAAAAAAACCATTCCAGCCTCTTCTGTCTTGGACTGTATGTGGTAACAAAGGACTCAGACGTGCACGCAGAGATGCTCCATTTTCAGTTTCATATTCTTTCTCGTTTAATCTATCATCCTTCGCTGTCTCACTTGTTACTTGTCTTTTTATTCCCAAGGCTTTTACATTTTGCAAATGTACACCCAATTCAGCATAAAGTGCTGAACTTTTTATATATGCTGCAGTGTTATCAGCGGCTGTATGTCTTTAGTTTCAGAGGGAGAGCCAAAGACAATCAGAGGGCCAAATGACCTCAGACCATTTACAGAAATATCCAATTCTAATTTCACTGCGAAGATAACAACACCCACTGATCACTTAGACACTTAACATTGCCTGAAAAACTCAATTTCAACCATTTGGCCGCATATGAAATAGATATATGATTTATGTGGTATGTTCATGCGAGCACTTGGTTGATTCATGTCTCCTGTTTTCATCGCAGGGGGAGCCTGTAAACAAAGAAGATATATTTGTTGCTGTGAAAACGTGTAAGAAGTTTCACAGTGAAAGAGGTAAGTCACACTTACAGAATCCACCAAAGATGCACAATTTCCCTTTAAATGGCACAAGCTTATGTCCTGTTGTTAACTCGTAATGGGTTTGTTTTACCTTTGACATGTGTGACTGTATAAGAGCTTTCCCTCATTATCATAATTGAGTCGTTTACTAAATTATTCCACCGTCATGTCTGAAAGGATTTGATAGTATTGAGGCCCAAAAAAAAATACCTTGAAGTACTTAGCTGCGTGCCCCCCTTGATGCTGGAAATGCACGATCATCCAACAATGTTAAGAAATCACTTACTGATGTTAAGCCATTTATTTGTAAGCTCTGCTTGCCATTAAGCTGCTTCTTTTTTAACCTGATAAAAATGTAGCAGGTTCAGTGTGCAGATCAAATTGCAGATTTTATTTCAGAGGGTCAGACAAATTGTACACTACATTCAAAGATTGTCCCTGAGAAGTAATTGCACTAATTACCTTAATTACCATTTCCTCTGGCACGCTGCCATTATCAGTTTCAAATATAGACAAGATGAAAATGAATATTAGATTTATATATCAAAGGTTAGCTTGGATCAATAAGCAATAGACATGAAAGAGCTGCATGTTTAATTTACGATGTCACTAAGTGTTAAGGCTTTTTCATCTTCTTCATCTGTATTGATTATATAGTACAAAAGCAGTGTTATAGACGTGAAGATACACATTCATCTACTTAATGAATTACTGTAGAGTTCCTATAGAAATAGAGTGAATTTTCTGATGTGGTTGCAGTGTTTTCTTTACTTTTTCTGTTTTTGTATAACAGCTTACACTGGTTCTGTTACTGCTACAGTATAAAGGATTCACTCTTCATAGCTCAATATTTTGTTTTTACTCACAGTTTTCATGCCGCAACAGAGGAAGAACTATGCCATCGAAAAAACAAAGATATCCATTAGTTGTGGCTCTGTGTAGATTTTGCACATTGGAAACACAACAAAGGAAAGTTGGGAAAAATTGTTCCTTGTCCTTGGTTTCATTTGGCCTGGTTTGTTGGGTTTTATTCTGTCAAAAACAACCCACACATAACACACACAACAGAAGAGAACCAAAACTAATGACCCACATTTAATTCCTAAATGGGGCACATACAGGTATAGATATATAAATATATAAAATGTAAGAAAACAAAATAGAAATAGCATATAACACAAATAATCATGAAGGGATTATGAGACAATGGGCCCCTGGGCACAGATATGCAAAAAGCCCCACCACCTTTCCTACACTGAAACAAAACACACAGACTTTATGGTGTTTGCTTTTTTTGAGTGTGTGTTTTTGTCTCTTCCTGGTCAGTACTTGTTGATTTGAGTGACATTTTGCAGGTGAAGGCAAGGGGCCCCCTAACACTTTGGCCCTCTGAGCCTGTGCCGGTAGACCTGTTCAGTGTTAAGTGTAAAATTGAAAAGTGTTGTGCCTCTGTTACATTACAGTCTTAAGTAAAGGTTGTGACATGTATATGTAATGGTGTAGTACAGTGTTGAGTACAGTAGTACAGTAATGTAGTGCAGTCTTATTACTTACACTGAGTACATTCACCCATTTCTTCTGTTTCTGTTTCCTGTGATTTTTGCAAAAGCTGTAATATATCTCAGCATCTTTTGTCATTCTATAATTAAACCAATAGTCTGATATAAAGGTTATTAAGTTATATGTTGTCTTTTTCACAAAGTTTGTTGTGTAGGTTGTGTTTTGTTCTAAGATGTGTAGGTTGCTTGTCTGTTTTCAAACTGCTCCTTAACATCTATTGATTGACTTCTACAGTCCGACAGGCAATCAACATCTGCCCTGCATGATGCACTTAGGTCTAGTTTGGTTTTCATAATGTCACTGTGGTGATAGAAAACAGCAGGGTGGCATCAAGAGCCTAATTGTACTCACTGTTCTTCATGAGTTCAGTTGTCAGTTTCTGAGAGCCTTAAGAGGCAGTGAAGGCCAGCCAACTCAACTTTTTGTTTTTTGGTTCATTCTTTTAGTGTTAGATATGCCACTCTGATTCACTTTTGTTGATTTATGAGAGTTGAACACTGCCTGGAGCTGCTACTGCTGCTGCAGATCTCTGGGTATTCTGTGTTTCTCAGCCCTCACATACTCGCCTCGTCAACCCAGTAACGCATCACAAAACCTCAAGATCTCGTCAGGCAGATCCCACTCAAATCTATAGGAACTTAACCATTAATATGACTAGTGGAACACATTAAGTTCTGATATTTCCTGCTTATTTTTTTAAATCCATCTTCAGAGAGGTCAGAGGATGAAAGCCACATAATATCTCTCTTTCTCTCTCTTTTACTTTCAGTCCATCTTGTCTCAGTTGATGATTTATTTCTTTAGAAACCTTTTCAGTGCTCTTAAATAGAATATTTTACTAAAAACATTTGAGAAACCATGTATTGTAATAAATATGAAACAACCATTGCTCAGGGAAGCTTACAATACAGTGAAGCAAAGGTCTGCTTGCTGTGAAACTTAGTGAACACTATTGATTTTTCTCCCCTTTGCTCTAGTTCCAGTGATAAAGAAGACGTGGGAAAAGGATGCCTTCTTTTTAGAGTACTACAGTGACTATGCTGATACTTCAATACCAACAATTAATTTAGGAGTTCCAAATACTGAAAGAGGTAAGTGCTGCTTTTATAGGCTAAACCCCTTCAGATATAGTTATTAGCCTTGGGTCATGGTGCAGGGTCAGCTGCATATTAAAGCTACAACAAAAGTGTTTTTTTTTTTTGCATGCTTTCTCAGAATAATGCTGAGGTGATGAATGGGTCTGTGCCTTCTGTTTGTTCTTGAATCTGAGGAGCTTCTCTCTGACTGAGCTATAAACTGTATTTACTCACCAGAAGCTTGGCCAACATCCCCCGCTGATTTCCACAGTATTTAATGAAATGTTTGCTCTGGATTTTTTTAAGAGCTGGGCAGGATGATTTGACATTACTTTAGTTCATCACTTGTAGTAGTTTACTTTTAACCGAGGCACGCTGTAACCTGTTTAACTTTGCCACACGCATTGTTGCTTCTATCTTTACAAAATGTTATAGCAGGGGCCAAGTGTTGTTAAAAGGTAAAGGTGGTCATTTTGTAAACATGTTTCAAGGCTTTCTTGATAAGAGTTGGGTGAGAAGATTGATACCACGCTTACATGAGAGTGGTGTCAATCTTCTCATTTGACCTCCTGCAAGAAAGCCAGTATACTTATTTTAAAGTCTAGTATTCCTTGAAATCCACAGGGCCTAACTTCAATTCTACCCACGCTCCTAAATGTTATCATAGTTTTTGGAATTAGAGTTTGAGGAAATATATTCAAAATGATGCAAAAGACATCTTGAGCATTTTCAGTTCATATTATAGTAGAGTTCAGAGGATAATGACCACTGTTCCTTTGCATTAAGATGCTGCACCTGGTAACAACACCCAAAGTTGGCTCCCTATAGGTGCACCAGATACGGCTGACTGGGAGACCCTGGAACAGTCCAGGTTTTTCTGGAAAGAAAACACATCCCCCAGCTGGTCTCAGAGCGTGACGATCCCTCAGGAGAAGCTTTACCCCAACAACATCCCTCAGCTTCTCCTGAGGTGGATGCTGAATGCTAAAAATGCATAATGCATGATAATCAGAAACAAGTACCAGAGCATGTACGTGGAGCATCAGACCGCTCAAAGCAATCCAATGTAGTTTGTAAAGACAGCGGTAGCTCTCTGCTTCAGCAGCCTCCTGGTTGCCTGAGCCAGTGGCCTTTTGGGCACAAATTATTTTACAGTCTGATGGTTGTTGGCACAAAACAGCACCCAAATACTCTCATGCTGCACCTTAATGGGATGATGCATCGGCTGCAGCCACTTTTAGTCCACTGTAGGAGGAGTGAAGGTTGTTATTCGAAAGAGTCTGGGTTTAGCCTCCAGCCTCCCTTCAGTTACTGTCTCCAGGCAGCTCAGCTCTTTAACAGGGACCTCTTTGCAATGAGGCAGTGAAGGATGCAAACTGCCACTGGCTACTTGCTGGAACATGCACAAGAGTCTGTTGCAGAGCTAAGCTTTGCAGGAATTAAAGTCAACCTTTTCTGGTAAAGTTACTCTGTTATCTGTCCAGTTGTTGATGTACAACCAACCCCCTGTATTTTAGGGCCACCTCATCTCCACCTCCTCATTGTGGGTAGTGACAGGTCTTGGCTGCCTCTCGCTCTGTAACAAATCCACTACCAGCTCCTTTGCTTGCCTGACACTGAACTACAGATAGTTCTTTTTGCACCGACTGTCAGTGCTCCCAGATGTCAGGCAAATTGTATACTCGCTGGAGTCATCACCTTGGATTTTTTAAATCAAACGTTATCAGGATAGATTTTTACAAATCTAATCTAATGAAGTTTGATCAGATAAAAGAAAGTGAAATCAGATTTCTGAAGTTGTGTCTCACCCCAGCTGCTCAGGTCAGATTTCAATCAGATTTCAAACCTTTATGTCACTTACAATCGGAAACAAACCTTGATGTAACATGCAGAATGATGTTATCCCTCTCAGTTAACCACATGACAGCAGCAGGAATCAGCAGTGATGGAGCTTTACACTGCGACTAGGTATTGTTGGTCTGTGAAGAGTTAGACCATTCAAGCTGTCTTTTGTCCAGTGAATGCAAATGTTTGTGTAGTTTACTTTGATGAGATGAATTAGTGTGGCCAGGATACAGTAGACTGGTTGTTGAAATGATGTAGAGCCATAACTAAATGCCGTCTTGAGATGGCACACCTATATGGAGTTGGAGGTCTGATATGGGCAGAGTAAAAAGAAGGTGACAGGACAATCCGCTGGGCCACCCAGTGCCACTCTGCAGCTTACAGCGCATCACTAATGGGTAATTGTTTGGAGTCAGGCCACGTTTGGCTGAAACCAGCCTGCTTTAAATTTAAACCTAAAAAAGGAGCTAAAAACAAATGTTAAAATCCCTGAGAAATGATTATATCATACAGTTAATGACTGCTTGGGGTTAACTGTAGGTGAAAAATGTTCATGCTGTACAGGGGTAGTGCAGTAAAAGAGTTGTTGAGTTTACACTTTCTTTACGACATGATATTATATTCTTATTCTTTGAACAACTTTTCACTATTTGCCCATATCACAAACTCTGCCACGGTATGATCTGATTCAGTTCAGGGGCCTGCGATCGATATGGCAAGATATCATATGCCCATTTAACACAGTCAGTTACAGAAGAAGCTGCCAACCCTTTCTTTTTTGTTTTTGGCCATTGAAGATGAAAACAGCACATGAATAATGTAAATAATTGTAACTGGTGAAGTGCAATAAAGTTTACTTTAAAGTGACTCAACTCATACACATAAAGCAGTACATGGGATAAGTTATCTTTCATTTTGACCCAAACCATGACCTTTTTCCTAAAACTTCAGAGCTATCTGGCTTAAAGCCCTGAAGGCAAACTTCTCCCAGCAGCCATAAAATAACAACTTTTAGCAAAAGAATAAAATTCAGCTGAATAATAACTGCCAAGGTTCATAGACTAAACAATTGTAGTCACCCATCATCAGCTAAAGCACTTTTTTATTGCATTAATTAACCTAGCGACTAACTTTTCCTTTTCTCATAACCGAACAAATTACATTATTATTACTTTAGTGGTGTGGTGGTTAGCACTGTCACCTCACAGCAAGAGGGTTCCTGTTTCGAGCCCTTCTGTGCGGAGTTGTATGTTTTCCCCATGTCTCCAGGTACTCCGGCTTCCTCCCACAGTCCAAAGACATGCAGGGTGGGGATAGGTTAATTGGTGACCCTAAATTGCCTGTAGGTGTGAATAGGAGTGTGAATGGTTGTCCGTCTCTATGTGTTAGCCCTGTGATAGTCTGGCGACCTGTCCAGGGTGTACCCTGCCTCTCGCCTAATGTCAGCTGGGATATGCTTCAGCCCCCGCGCGACCCTCAAGAGGATAAGCGGTTACCGTTGGTTTAAGTTGCTGCATTTCATGAAAGATCAGCATTATTGAATTTCAGTCTGAATTGGACGTTTGTTTTTGTCTAACATTGTTGAAACAGAGCAGTTAATGTTGATGTTGCCGTAGTGAGAAGGTAGTGGAGTAAGAATCCTGGCCAGACAGGAACGTTGTGTATTTTATCTTGTAATAGCGTTGTTTACATGTGACAAGTACTTTGTCTTTTGACCTGCATTTTTGCCGAAATCAAAAGTATATCTACCCCGCTGATCTATTCTTGAGTAAATACGATATCCTCATCGTCTTTCGTGGCTGCTCAGCATTATCTGCCCGGTGCTGTTTGACACAGAATTTCAAAATAAAGGCTTACGTTAAAGATGATACTTTGGATTGATGTTTTCACTTTGCATGGATGATACTGGATCATTGCTTATTGAATTGATACATTGATCAAGATCAATGGATTGTTACACCCCTACAAAATACACCTTTTATGTGGATGTCCAATCAGTGTTGGTGGTAAATGTTGTCTAATTCTTCACTGTGTGCCATATTGACCGAGAAGGCTGAGTTCTCCTGCTCGAGGAGCCATGCCAGCAGTGCCTACATGTGTCAGCATGTAGGCACCCAAAGCGTTAGGTGACAGAAATGCTCTCCCAGTGATCATCTGCCCTCTTGGCCCTGCTGGTCTTTATTGTCTTTTCCAGTTTATTGTTAGGATCCTGGAGAAGGTCCCCAGCACAATGCTGTCCGAGTAAAACTTTTATTCATGGAAAGGCACATAGAAGCTCTTTTGGAGTTGGCGTTGGCGTCTGCGACAGTATCCATCAAAAACTGCCCACCGTGAAATTTACATCAGCAGAATTATTCTGTTTCTACTGGCATCAAAGGGCAATTTGAGCAAAGGCATTACCAGCCATTGTTTGCACTCGACAGCTCAGGTTCTGGAGGGTTCCTGTCAGCCATATCCTCTTGCAGGGCTCATGCAGCCACAGCTTCGACCTCTCTCTGCTGCATTTCTTCAGCTGTTTACTTCAGTAAACAATAAAATAATAATAATGTTGTGTACCTGTACTGACTTACCGATTGCTTGATTTTTATCCTATTGTTGATGTTGAACGAGATTGCATCATACAGAAAGGTGTTTTAAGGACCAATCCACCTGCATTTATACATATGACAGACAAAGAATATAGAAAAACCACTGAATATAATAGAGTCCAGTACAACATGTTCATTTGAAACCTATAAATGGTCATACATGAAACTGGAACAGAGTAAAAACATTGCAGCCTTGACAAGGTGTATTGCAGAGTTGTTCTTGTGGATTGCATTAGATTACATTAGATAAGGTAGATAACGACACTGCAAGTATTGATAATTTACATTGTCGATGAATCTGCTGATCATTCTCTCAGTTTAAGCATTTGGTCTATGGAATGTCAGAAAATAATGGAAAAAATGCTTGTTATAGATTTCCCACAGCCCAAGGACTTCTATTCAAATAGCTATTTCAGGCCTAGTGGACTAAGTCCAAGATATTAATTTTACTATGATTGACAAAAACATGAAATCCTAACATTTGATGAGGTGGAACCAGCAAATGTTTGGCATTATATCTTGAAATATCAATCCATTAATTGACTGTTTGTTACAGCTGTAGCAAAATGTTAACCTTTTCTG